TGAAACCAACGATTTAAATGTCTTTGTAGACAACAAAAAGATCAAAAAAGTTCAATCTACAAAGTCGTTAGGTCTAACAATCGACGAGCACTTAACTTGGAAAAACCATATCAATAATATTACCAAAAAAATTTCGTCCGGTATTAGTGCTCTTAAGCGCGTAAGACCTTTCATCAATAGAGAAACGGCTGTGAAGGCATACAGGGGCCTGGTCGAGCCCTATTTTACTTATTGCTCTCCAGTGTGGGATGGTATTGGTTTAAAACTGGGTGAGAAACTACAAAAGCTGCAAAATCGTGCGGCTAGGGTAATGACCAGGTCCTCGTATGAGGGTTCGTCAGCATCCCTACTTTCTGAGTTGGGATGGAGTGTTTTGGCAAAAAATCGCATGAAGCAAAAAGCTATCCTAATGTACAAAGTTAATAATAATTGTGCTCCTCAATACTTGCAGCAGTTATTTACACCCAAAGTGAGCAATCATGATCTGAGAAATTCTCTAAATAAATTGTCTGTTCCAAAACCTCGAACAGACTATTTGAAACGTTCTTTCAGCTACAGTGGTGCTTCCCTGTGGAACAGCTTGTCAGAACAGTTCAGATCAGCCCCTTCTCTCAATTCGTTCAAAGTCGAATTGACTAATTTCCTATAGTATACTGAGTATATGGACCCTTGCACGGCAATCGTGTAAAACAGTAATTATTATTTTTATCTTTTGACTAACATTGTATATATTTAAATTTGTGTATTTTATTCTTGTACTGATGATTCTTCCGTGTTGAAATAAAGTGTATGTATGTATGTATGTATGTATGTATGTATGTATGTATGTATGTCCGTGTTGAAATAAAGTGTATGTATGTATGTATGTATGTATGTATGTATGTATGTATGTATGTATGTATGTATGTATGTATATTGAGCGAGAAAACGTTGTCTAAACGACGGGGTCAAAATCACACAATGTAAACAAAATTTGAAACCAGAATTATAATTTGAAAGTTTAATGCAACATAAACATACGACTTTTATTCGACGATATCTGTGCGAATATTACAGGTACAATCATTTTACGTATATTGTCAGATAGCTGGTGAATCCAGCTACATTTTGGTACGAGCTATAATATTGTAGCCAGTGGCGGTGCCAGGGGGGGCAAGGGGGGGCAAATGCCCCCCCCAAATTATTTTTTGCCCCCCCCCCATTTTGCCCCCCCTCAAAAAAATTATTAGTCACTAAGAGCGACTAAAGGCTACATAAGTGTTCTGTCGTTATCGGAAAATGTATGGCTTATAAGTTGTCATTACTCATTTGTGAATGCGATACATGAAACTGTTTTTTACAGTTTCAATATTAGTTTGTAAATCTCTGAATGGTAAAACTTGCCAATACTCCAGTAATACGTTTCAAAAAAAGACAAAAAAGCTTTAGTTTTGCAGAGTTAAATTCTCAAACGTGTAGGGCAAATAATAAGATGAAAGTATCACGAAATTATTTGAATAAACCACATCGCATATATGGGGGGCGAATGTCCTAAAGAGGGGCGATATTCCTAGGGTATTCGCCCCACCCCCCTGGGAGGCGATATATATTCCTAGGATATTCGCCCCCGGGGGCGATATTCCTAGGAATATCGCCATGTTTTGAGGGGGGGGGGGCGAATTTCCTGGGGGCCGACCTTTTTAAAAATTCGATCTTGCCCCCCCAAAATTTGAGTTTGCCCCTCAAATGCCCCCCCAAATTTGGAAGCCTGGCGCCGCCACTGATTGTAGCTAGAGTATTGAGCGAGAATTCGTTGCCTAAACGAGGGTGTAAAAATTGCCGTCGGAATACACATTCCAGTCGGACAATATAATGTTTGGTTTTAGGCATGAGGTTCAACCGCTTATATTAATTCGAAATTTAACGACATACACCCCCAACGCGGATGGTTTGAAAGCTTATGAAAATGCCTACATTTTAGTTGGATTTATATTCAGGTTAGTAGAGAATTCGCCGAGAAAATGTTCGCAACAAACTGTTGTTATGCCACGGAAATTCAAAAATATCTATTACATTTTCAAAATCTCGCCTTGCTGCGCATGTAAACACATGCATTTGAAGCTTTCAAAATATATAGTTATAAACCTTTAAAGACACAGTTGAAACGAAAACTTATTAAAATTGAAACGGCCTATTTTGAAAATAATGATTTTCTTGAAAATCCGCCATTGTCCATTGATTTTGCGTCCTCGTTTCACCGACACCGTATAATTATCAAAATCGAGTTTCAAATCAACAGTAATCGGTATTGATAAAAAGTATTCACTATAAAAACTAACCTTCACTGTGTTTCCTCCAGAATATTTAAAATAAATAGAATGTCATCAGCCTTGGCAGCCTTGCACAAAATCCGATTTCTTGAGGTTAACGTTGTTTATTAACAACATAAACATTTGTAGTGATTAGGGTAAATAAACATCTATGTATCTACCTAATTTTTCTTGAAAGTAACTATTTAGAGCCTGGATTCGATGTACGTCTAGCAGTAAACACTAAACGTCACTATATTTGCTTTGTCACTATTTGTCATCGGTCAATAAATTGTTTAGCTCCATACACGCCATGCACGCCGTGTGACTTACGAAATGTTTGAATCTGAGTGTTTCATTTTATTCAAACTTGGTTTATTCTTTATTGTCGAAATATTCGGCTGCTTCATTCTAACATAGATATACTCCGTTATAACCAAGACCATATATATCTATTTCCTAGGGGGCATAGCATAGCTACAAGTAGCTACAGGCAATTATTGTGGGTTTTTTCGAAGAAATAAACGATTTGCATGGGTTCACAATCCGCAATCCGCATCCGCAATCCGCATCCGCAATCCGCATCCGCAATCCGCAATCCGCATCCGCAATCCGCACTCCGCAATCCGCTACCCGTAAAGTCTACCATGCCCTTTTTATTTATTTGCGTTGTGGCTTTTTATTTGCGTTGTCGCCTTTTCTTTACTTGCGTTGTGACTTTTTTTACTTGCGTTGTGACTCTTTTTTTTACTTGTGTCGTGACTTTTTTACTTGCGTTGTGACTTTTTTATTTGCGTTGTGACTTTTTTTACTTGCGTTGTTAGTTTTTTTATTTGCGTTGTGACTTTTTTATTTGCGTTGTGAGTTTTTTTATTTGCGTTGTGACTTTTTTATTTGCGTTGTGATTATTTTTGTTTGCGTTGTGACTTTTTTATTTATGCGTTGTGAGTTTTTTATTTGCGTTGTGATTATTTTTGTTTGCGTTGTGACTTTTTTACTTGCGTTGTGACTTTTTTATTTGCGTTGTGATTATTTTTGTTTGCGTGGTGACTTTTTTACTTGCGTTGTGACTTTTTTTTATTTGCGTTGTGACTTTTTTATTTACGTTGCGATTATTTTTGTTTGCGTTGTGTCTTTTTTACTTGCGTTGTGACATTTTTATTTGCGTTGTGATTATTTTTGTTTGCGTTGTGTCTTTTTTACTTGCGTTGTGACATTTTTATTTGCGTTGTGTCTTTTTACTTGCGTTGTGACTTTTTTATTTGCGTTGTGACATTTTTATTTGCGTTGTGTCTTTTGTATTTGGGTTGTGAGTTTTTTATTTGCGTTGTTGGTTTTTTTATTGGCGTTGTGTTTTTTTTGTTTGCGTTGGGATTTTTTCTTTTAATGTTAGTTTCTTTTAAGCGATGGCCCTTTTGGGCCACCGTAGATTATACATGGCCAATTTGTCAATCCCAAAGGTGGAGAAGGTAACAATTATGCTAAAACAAGAACACATAGTTAAAGCCAACAAAATTGTCTTACGCGGCCTTTGTGGGAACAAAACACTTAATATAAAGCTGTGACCAGGAGCACAACGAGCGCCTACTGTCAAAAGGTAATAATAGACAATTTGGACAAACAAAACAACATACACAAGAATTCATCGTCGCACACATATGGCAACTGCGAAGAAGACGTTAAAGACATGATCGAAACCCTACGTAAGTTGAAACCGTTTCAATTTACCGTAGATCGATATCACAAGTCATTCCAAACAATTGAAGAATCACCTCTGGACAAATTAGACGCTGTTCTTTTGCACAAATGGTTAACACGACACAAATTGTTATTAGCATCAAATCCATATTCAAATGATGATGAAGCCACGGAGGAGAGCAATAACACTAATATTAATGAAGATGAAGTTTCATTTACAAGTAGTGACGAAAATGTTAGCGAATAGAAATATGACTACCTACACAAGTACCGTTTATGTTGTTGAACATGGAGATCATTTCAAACAGAGGCCGCGGAACCGGACAATAGGGGCATGTGTGCCCCCCCTCCCCTCTTAGGCAAAAGTGAAAAAAGATCCCTTTTTTAGTGCCCTATTTAAAGAACGAAAAAAGTATTTCTTGAATGAGCACGCTCATATGCTGAAAAAGAATGCCTTTTTTCAGTACATTAGAATCTCTAAAGGTCATTTACAACATTATAGAGACAACATATTTTTCAGAATGATTTTGATTTTGGCATATAGAAAAGTGCCCTTTTTGGCCAATGCCCCCTCCACTTCAGAAATGCTTCCCGCGACCTCTGATTTCAAGTTGTATCTTCTATATTAAGAGATAATTTCAAAGATTGCATGTGCATGTTCTCTGCTGAAAACAGGCAGGATTTTATAAACATCATCTGCAGATTTAACTGCAGAACAACTCTCCACAGCTAGGTCTATTAATTCAATACTGAAGCCTTTAGATAAAGTAATGTTGTCTGCAAATGAATTTCCATAGCACAAAGATGCTCTATATGCTTCAAGATCATTCTTGATATTTGTTTTCTGATAACATGAAAATTAAACATGCTCTGTTGCAGGTGTTGGTGTTGTCTGATCCTCTGCAGAATTGCTGGTAACAACCAAGCAAGTTGGACATTTACATACTGATCTATAATATGAGCAGCAATTATGAAAGTCTGATTCCATTTTTAAGCTGTGATCAAAGTAGTTTAAAATAATACTTCTTTTGCACGAGTTAGATGTAGCAAATTCACGCATAACTTCATCCACTTGATGTTTACCACTCCGAATATCGAAGTTGTTGTAATACATAGTGGCAACTGATGGGCATCCGTCTCTACCCGCACGTCCTGTTTCTTGAAAATATTCCTCTATAGTTTTTGGTACCCCAATGTGAATGACATGACGAATGTCATGAATGTCTATTCCCATCCCGAAGGCAATTGTAACAAAAAGAACTCTTGCAGTACAAACACCTTGAGTAAGTTCTTCAATAATCCTATCCTTTTCATGATCTGGGCATTCAGCATGATACTGTGCAAAAAGCCGGTTCTTTGAAATAGGCTCCGATCCTTCAGGGAAATATTGATGTTTTTTCAGAGCCTGACTAAAATACAAAAAGCAGTCTGCACAAGTTTGCAGTGTGCCATAAATAATTGTTAATTCCATTTGAAGTTTTAGCTCTTTCAACATATTTGCAACAGGTTTAAGAATGGGATCGAGTTTATCATCTCCATGAGATGGTCTGTTCTTAACATCATAAAATATGTTTTCACGATCTGGATTGACTTCAATTAACTCAACATCTGTTAACTGTAATGATTCAATTATCATAGACTTAGTTTCACTGTTTTCTGTAGCTGTTAGAGCCAGAAAGTGTACATTTGCAAAGATACTTCCCAGTATGTCCAATTTTCCATATGCAGGCCTGAAGGTCTTCCTACAAATATGAACAGAACGACAAGCATGTGACATATAACCTTGCACCTTTAGTTGATATGTTAACAAAGCCATCATCCAAATTCACATGTCAACCCAATACTGGCTTAACAATTGCAACATACCACGATTCACCCAACTTTAACAATTGTAATCCAATTACCCAACTTTTAACCATTTACTGACCGTATGCCACTGATTAGTAAAATCGTCTGGCATTAGACAGGGTAAATAGTAAAGCAGGCACATTTGGGCGCATTGCTAGTTTTAAATGAGTAACAATTAGCAATTAAATACATTAAAAAGATATGGTTAACCTTACAAAAGCAAGGACGAACATGACCAGTAGAGGTGTGCATTGGTTTGGACGTTTACAATTGGCTAATGTTTAAAATCTGAGCCAAAATTGTCTAAACCGAATTGTGTTCCAAATAACCCTTTAAATTAATAAAATAAATTTGTAAATCAAGTGGAAATGTTTAAACAAATAAATATAAAAGCAAGAAATGCATGAAAAGAAGATGACAAAGTGACTTCGGATTTGCACACCTCTATTGACCAGTGTAAATCCCGGTTGATTCTATGCACAGTACATATATAGTGGGGCCATTCCTTTTAATGTACAAACACCCCTATGAACGAGGTCAATAAAATTTGAACCCCTAAGAAAAAAGATCAAAGTGCTGACACAAACACACATCCCCCCCCAGAAATTAAGAAATTTTGCCTTACCCCTCAGAAAAAAACTCAAAGATCAAAGGATGCCGATGCACACAACCCTCAGAAATGGCTTTTTCAAACCCCCTCAGAAATTCTCATCCATAGGGGGGGGGGGGGGTTGTTGTATATTAAAGGCAATATTGTAAAATACCATTATGACTCAATACACATGTCAAATAAAATATAACTGAATGCAAATTATGGTATACAGTTATCATACAATTCTTTAATAAGATGGGCTTCATCAACAACTAAACACTTAACCCTTTCTTGAAATCCTGGAGACTTGAGGACATTGAAAAAAGACTTATTCTTGACGCATAATTCTGCATGAAAATAAAGGATTTTGCAAGTACAGGATAGGTCTTTTAAAGACTCTACAGAAATATGATATTGTGCTTTTTCATTTTCTGAAACCACTTCTGTTACCATAAATGATTGAATTCCAGCCTTATTTAACTTTGTAATTTGATCGCACATTAGCGCATTTAAAGGCGACACGACCAAAATCAACGAACCAACACATCCTCCTCTCAAATGTGAATTTGCCGACATATAATCGAATACGTCGGGCAATATTTGATATATTAGCGACTCGCCAAAGCCAGTGGGCAACACGGCCAATACATCCTTTCCACGCAAGACTGATTCTACAGCACGGAACTGTTCATCTTTCAGTTTTACATCATGTGAATATAGCTTATTTATCGCAATTTTTATAGCATTATTTAATAGCAAGCAACTCATACTGTAGCAATTTACGAAGCGTATATTTCTTTTATGGAACCTAGGGTAAACGTTAAAATGAGCGAGTCGATTAAAGTTTATTTATTTTAAAACAGTTTTTAATAAATTAATTATTATAAGTTCAGTGTCTCAAATTCTTGAAAAACATATTAAAATAATAAGACGTTATATAAACAAACTGATATGCGGTGAATATAGCCAGTATGAATAACAAATTTTATAAACTTTAAACCATACCTTTTCTGATTCAAGCCTGGCGTATTCAATCATTTCAATGTCAGAAAACTGTATAATTTATTGTACCATGAAATTATATGATTTCCAAACATAAATAATACGCTGGAGTCTGCAGTCTGCACTCCCCGCGTTTAAGCGGTTGGGCTTTTGAGCATGCTCACAACAACCGGAACCCCAGAATTTAGGGGTTCCGGTTTTCAATTTCCCCAGAGCCAATGCCATCCTAGCCCGCGTACAGGCATTGCTCTGGGTACGAGATTGCACATCCTGGTCGGAGCTGGTCACGTGAACCCCCAGATTTTGGGGGTAAATTGAATTTGACCTCAGGGAGGGGTAGTAGAGGAGTCTGTTTGTTGTGTTTAGAAAATTGCAACTTTATGTGTTCGGGTGATAAAAATGTAATTTGCAACAAGAGATTGTGAAAGGAACTGTTTTAAATTGTACCGATCATGACAAGACTTCCTGCTGTACTGAATGTCATCAATAATAAGTGTTGCGGTACATTTCAAGCGAGAAGCTGGATCATATTTCACTTGCAAGGAAAACAATCCACACGCGCCTGGTTTGCGAAGTTTAGCACGTATCGCCGTAGAAACATACATATCTTCTACACAGAATGATCGATCAAACGGTATTAAACGAACGATATGGTTCTTTATAGTTGAAGTGTATCCTGTCCGATATTCAAAACAAAAGATTTATTTTATAAC